AAGAAATTACAAAATAGTTTAAATCAGAATAACTTATCAATTTGTTATAAGAATTTACAGAAAATAATGATGGATATTAATCAGATTCAGATAAATTACAAGTATAAAGGATAAGAAGAATACTGTTTCTTTAATACCTATATTGCAAAATCTAAAAAAAGCATTATAGTAAGATGAACTGAATAACACTCTTATAAGAGTATTACCCGGTTGTACTATAATGTTACCTAGTTATGAATATAATGTTACTTAATTACTATTTTTACTGTTCTGTGGCCGTTTTATTGCTTTGTAGATATTTGCTTGTTTTTATTGCTCTATCTTCTTTTTATTTCCTTCTAGCTATCTGCTTGTTTTCATTACTCTGCAGTCTTTTTGTGGCCATGATGCTAGGCTGGCATTGTTTGCTAAAAATTGTGTTGTGGTCAAGTAGCGCAGTTAATTTGCGGATCAGATTTTGGCCGGCACTATAGCATAATTTCTGGCCAATCTTTAGGGCTGAATATCTTAGCTTTCTGTAATTGGTTTCATGCGTTTTTATAGTCGTTTGAAAGAGGGCGTTGAGAGCTTTTCAATAACGCTAAGATCGTATGAATCAGATGTCTAGATGCCGAGTTATTGCGTCTCAAAGTTTTGGAAAAAAATATAGATTAGTGCTGGCCGAAATTAACGAAATTTACTGCGCCAATCACGTGTTCAGTTCTTCGCCAGTTCCAGGCACTTTCCCGTCACTTTCAAGTAACTTTTAAGTAACTTTTGAAGGCCTGGTTTAGTGATCAGTTGATTAGAGAATCAGAAGTGTGATAGACATTATTATGGCTGGCCCATTTGATTACTGGATGAGGCACGAAGTGCTGAATTTGCAATCCATCTATTTGCTAAAGATGTGTTGCAATCCATTCATTCACTTTTTTGATTGCCGGTGAGGTACGAAGTGCTGATGTTGTGCCATTCTTGCAATCCTGTCCATGACCATTTTGATTGCTGAGAATGAGACACGAAATGCCAAATTAGTTTAGACTATATTGCTTTCATACCTTTTTTCGTGTATTCTCCTGAACCTTTCTGCCTTACTGACCTCTTTCCTGCCTATCACCTGGTGACCCACTCAAGCATAACTTCTTTTTCTTTCCTATATATAATTCTGCTTGAGTGTGTCACCATTTTTATATCTTATTTTTCGCTCCTGCCTTTCTAGAATTCTTTCCCGTAGAGTTACTATTTCAGGATACTTTAGGATACTACCACATTGATCACTTTAGGGGTACTACCATATTGATTACTTTCTTTCAGCTTTTTTTTCATGAATTCCAGCATTTCCTAGCCATGAAACATATAATCGCAATAAGTATTAGAGTAAGTATAGAATACATTAACATAGGCGACATCAAGGAGCTTGTGATAATAGGAGTAGTTGCTGGTAAAGATACCGCTTTTGCGCTACCTATAGAAATTATTTGGAATGATGGATTAAGAGCGGAAGGTTGACTAGAAGACGCTGTGCATGATGAATTATTTATAGACGGGGTGGAAGATCTACTTCATTATGCGAAGCGCCTCTTGGCTCTTTCTTTAACACTAACTGGTTCCTGAGAGAGCTATTTTCCTCTATCAATTTTAATTATTCTGAAGACCAAATATCTAGCTCTTATTTGTATATACTATCTGACGACTATATCTCTTTTTTCATACATTCTATTGTATATTTTTTTGAATTAAGGTCCTCATTCGCTTGCTCTAATTCAAGCCTGAGAGAATCGATCTCTTTGGGATCATCCATTGAAGATGAGTTTATTTGGATCAGCTCTTCTATCACCCCTCCTACTACATTCGAATTATGGAACACCTGATCTAGTTTCAAGTCATCCAACTTACCTTCCAATTTACGTACTTTAGTTTCAAGAAAAAGAATCTGGATCTTGTTAGCGGACGAAGCTTTCTGGGTCAAAATTAGCTCTCTTTTTAGTGTTTTAATAAAAGATTTAAGCGATTTGATTTCAGAAGTATATTTGGCTTCAAGCTTGTGCTGACTTTTAGAGTAGAACTTCCATTTAGAAGTAATTTAGGATCTAAGTTTAATACTGAATGCATTTAACTGGCTAGCTTTATTTTCCATATCGGCATAGGTTTGCTGAAACTCCTTTTCTCGCTCTGAATACTTAGCTAGCAACTTTTCACTAAGATTATTAATTTCAGCTTTAGATTTAAGAGCGGAATATAATTTTTCTTTAAGCTCTTGCTCATATGCACCACCAATTTGTTGACCGACCCCCTTGAAGGAACCATCGCCTTTATTATTAATATTATTCAAGGTATATACATTAGTCATAGCCTTTTTTTTGGCTTAGTTACTAGTATATTAAAAAATATGTGACTAAAATTTTTTATAGGATAGCTGGATCCTTTAATGCATATAGCACTGATACTCCTGATATTTCTAATACTTTCAATACTTCTGATACTCCATGTAGTATTAATTTTTTATGCACATTTTTACTAATATCACAAATAGTCTCCATACTATGCGTAGAATTAATCCTTTCGATACTTCACATAATACCAGTCCTCTACATAGTTTTGATAGTCCACATAGACCACATAGTATTAATATTTCACATACACATTTTTTATAAATAATATAAAAATCTGATCAACTACCAATATGATCAACCTCTTACTAGAAGGTATATGCGCTCTGATGCCACAAAATTATCATCTGCAGATTATGAAGATATCATGTAATACCGGAATATGAAATCCAAGCCCCTGGAACAATTAAGAAAGAAATTTCATATATCAACTTCTCGCTTATATCAGATTTGGAGAGGGCAGGAGGTAGGAAGGGTTGAATGGAACTATTTGGCAGTCCCACTTTCTTATTCAAGTAAAAATAATATAGATAGGCAGGATATATCTGAGACTCTAGTAGAGTGTATTACCATTGCTGAAAGTGAGGTAAAAAAGATTGGAGAAAAAAAAACTAAGTCTAAATCCGTTCATATCTCTGGATCACCTGTTATTTAGATACCACTAGTTTCAAAGAGTTTAAATATAAGCAATAAGGAATTAGGAGCATTTTATGAGAAAGAAGATAAGAGAGACAGAAAAATTACGGAAGAAATAAATAGGATACTAGCCATGTAAAAGATGTTTTTCATTTAGTTCGATATTGCATGATAACAACTTCTCACAAAATCTGTTAAGATTTTCTTTAGACTTAAGAGTGCTATATAGCATTTTTTCGAACTCCTCATAACTCACTTTTTTTTAATACACTATCATCCTTATTTGCCATTAAGGCATTTCGCAAGTCCTGTGAGTCCTGTGAAATGCAATTCAGAGCTAGCAGATCACCACATTCAGGAATAGTCCTCGCACAATTTACCTTGAGCTTGTTCTTGACCTTATGCATAGTAACTAGAATAATATAATCTTTTCCATTCAGAGAGATCTTTAGCTCGTTAGTATCCCAATCCATTGCGTATTTATATTTCTTTAAGAGTTAGTTAGAAAATATTAGGGTTGGCTTATGATAATCTACAACTATAAAATCTTTATAAGTAGTAAGTCCTGAAGCTAAAATAATTGGCAAATTGCGAACAATACCAATAGATTCAATAAGGACAGTAGCGACATCGCTAAGGTCGTATTTTTCAGATTCATCTATTTTAGCCTTAACACAAACAACAATTTTCTTTATTATAATTGGAGGCTCTGCTCCGGAGTCAAAAGTCATGACTGGAATCTTTAAGCGTTTAATTTTATACTTCACAGTAGCAACACTCATTTTTAGCTCCTTTTTCTTGACGAAATCGATCTCTATTGGATCATTTAAAGACTCCTTCTCTAGACTGGACTCATCTGAAATCAAATCATTAGAAGATGGTAGGACGTTGTTTTAGCCAGAGGCGCTAAAGCAAGACTTTATCTTCGCTACCTGTTCGAACATAACTGGACTAAAATCTTTGGGGAAACGTTCAGAAAAAAATAGTTTAAGCTCACTTACGAATAGTTTTATCTAGTGGAATTTCTCTCAGCATGATGCTAGGCATCTTCTTAGAGTATGATTTCTTAGAACTAGACTTCTGCTTCACTTTTTTTTGCCTTAGCAATATTAACAGTAATATCACTTTCAGAATCAAAAGAATCAGAAGAACTTGTATCAGAGTCACTGGAGGATGAACTATCGCTAGATAAAGTATTGTCTGAAGAAGAATTTGAATCTGAATCTAGTTCTATAGTGAGATTGACCTTACCTTTCTTCGACTTCTTGCTTTTCTTTTCTTCTTTACAGAGCACTTACGAAAAGTATGTCCAAATCTACTACACTTGATACATTTCTTAACAGCACTTCTAACAGCGGATTTGATAGCATTTATTATGGCCCTATTTAGTGTCATGCCAGCCATACTGTCAGTAATATCATTAACAGAATCATAATTATAATCATCGTCAGGAGCTACATTACCTTTCTCTCTTAGTATGTCACCTAAAAAACGTCTAATAATAAGGTCTTCTGCTCTCTTATTAGCTGATTTTTTACTATTACCTAAAGTCTTAGTCACTCAAGACATAGTCTCTTGCAATGATTTAATAGAAGATTGTAAATCAGCCTTAGTAATATTTTCCTGACCAGAAGAAGACGCCAGTGATTGATTTGGTGCTGATTGCTGTAATGCCTGAATCCTACTATTTACAATCCTATCAATATCTTCTGTAGTAATATTCTGATGAGAAAGCATTTTTAGTTTTAACTTAGTAGCTAGCTGGTTATAAATATTCTCACTCAGAAGAAAATTATTCCTTTCTGTTTCAATCTCTTCTAATGTTTCAATCAATTCATCATTTAAAGGTCTGTTTAAACCCAATCGCTTTATTTTCAACTTGTTTTCAGGAGACAAACCACGTATAAATTGTATTCTTTTTTCATGATCAGATATTCTCGCCTAGCTAGCATATTTGTTTATCTTTCTATAGTAATTTCTAACTGAATCAGATTCTTAAGTCAAAATACCAAAGATCAATTCTTGTTGCTCTTGAACAACTGTAGAATAATTCCTTTTAAACCAATAAATGACCTGACTAATATTGATATCAGGAAAAACTATAGGATTATTGTTATTTGTAGCACCATTCAGTACATTAGTCGCTGTATCAGCATCTACAGGACACCCCCGACAAGAGACCAATTCTCATCTGTATGAACATTATGTAAACATTATGTATTGGAATAACTGTAGCGCCAGTAGCTCCAACTGGTAATGCTGGTGGTGGGGTACCATCTGATGCATTAATCATGGCGGCCGTTATATTAGCATTATTCAAAACCTGAACAGCACCCATATTAGCCAAATTGTTGCCATATCTTATATGGTTTAATCACCATTTTTTACCTATGAGTTTATCTTTGACTCAGCGTGATACCTCGTCTGTCAAGCATGACCGAAATAGTTCTAAAGCTCTCTGTTTACCACCTGCATTAGCAGTAGTAATGTTGGCCACTGTAAGATAGAGTCTGTAATCTTTATGTATTCATCTATATCTTCATCCACTTTACCTAAGAATCTTTTTGGTGCATATCCTGCCCATCCCTAAATGTGAAAGATTATTTTGTAATGCGAATATTTGTCACTGCAAATTTAAAATATTCTGGTATTCTGCTTGAGTCTTATTTTTTCATTTCTCATATTGCTCATAGAGCTTGTCTCGATTATATTCTAATAAACCTACCCTATAAAAAATTTGCATACGTTTTTTCATTATTATAAATAAGTTTTGTATACGTTTTTTGAAATTCCGTATC